TTAGTAAATACTTACCATAGATAAATCTAAATATGATCATAATTTTATCCAACATTTTCTCAAGTTCTTCATCTGTAGCTTCTTTGTTGCCCGCACGAAGCTTTGAATCTACATACTTAGCTAAAATGGGAAAGAAGTTTGTTGTTTAATAACCAGGGGAATACATGAAATACTGGGCACTATACCCAAAGAATATCATACACTCAGTTTTTCAATACTTCAGAAACTTATATGCACTTTTTAAAGTCTCCAAAGTCAGGGAGATCAAATGACTTGTTCAATGCCATGCAGCTAAGATCAGGGCCTGAACGCAAACCCAAGTGTGCTGACTCCAGATCAAATTTACTTTCCACTATTCTGATGTTTATGGATATCCTGTGGGGTAGGCCTCATGTGGCCCTATGAAGGCATAATCAAAGCCACTGAAAGACATGGGACATCTTCTGGAGTGTCTATTTTACAGGGATAATAAGCAATCTTAAACATTACTTTTCTATTAAAAGAAACCAGACACATCATAGAGTAGAAGGTAAAATTTGCTACATGTTTAAGGATAAATAATAGATAGGCTGCAACAAAATTTCATCCATTTGGCAGAGGACCCTAGACCTTGCAGGTTACCTCCTCCTCTGACACTAAAGGTACTTGGGTGGAAAAACTTGAGAAGCACTGTAGTATATACCAGATCCTTACATTAAATGGACCCAGATTATTAGGTTTATTTTTGCTCTGGACTTTTTCCTTTTTCACTGACAACTGTAATTTCATGCTGCCCTTTCTTACAGTTTGAAATAATACCCTGCCGCATTTATAAATCACTTTAGGCTTGGAAAACAGATAAGCTTATTATCAATAAAGGTAAATAGGGCCCAACATACTTACAAAGAAGCACATTATGTTTGACATGTAGACTTTCATTCAGTATTTACATCTAGGTTTTTAGAAGTACTTTTCAAACTTAATATATTGGCTAAGCAACTTCAAACAAATGAGGAATTAGCAATACTACAACCTTGTAAAAACTTCAGACTGATTAAGATTTTCAAAGAACATCATTAAACAGCTGGAAAAAGGACTGGAAAACATACCTATAAGTTCAGCCGGTTTATTTGGTCTTTTGTTAATAAATGTTTCGAATGCTTCTTTCATGGCATTGATAAATTTCTCATTCTTCAGAAAGCAGATATCAATTATATGGTCAACCTTATCTTTGAAATCCAGCAATTCTTGAACCATGGTTTTATCTTTTTCAGGATTAATTACAATAGTGCTGCCAAATGCCTACAACAAAAAAAATCCCCACTTTTTACTTAATTGTCTACAATGAAATTGTAAATGAATTATCTATAAGGAAAACAATCCCCGAACCATATTTTAAGTGGCACATATATTTAAAGATCTCAAAAAAGTAAAATAAAGCTATTTTTAAGATGGAATCTTGCTATGTTGCCCAGACTAGTCTCAAACTCCTGGGCTCAAAGGATCCTCCTGCCTCAGCCTCCCAAGTAGCTGGGGTTACAGGCATGCACCACTGCACCTGGCAAAATAAAGCTGTTTGTGAAATGAGGAAAAAAATATAAAGTGCTAAAATATCCAGACTGATAACCACTCATCTATAATAAAAAATAATAAGGAATGATCACAGTGCATATGATATCATAACAGGGTATTATTAAAAGCCTCTGGGATCTTTTCCTTATTTTTAAAGAAGTCAGCTTTCAATTTCCTTAAAATGGCAATCTGGCTTTAGTGTAAGATTGAAGAAAGGAAAGAAATCTGGGGTTCAAAGTCGTCTTTCTTTTTCTACACTCACTACTTTAAGTGCTAGAGATAGAAATCATGTCAAACATCAGTCAGGTTTTATAGCTGATATGCCACACAGCTACCATTCTCAGGTTAACTGTTCTCAAAATTCCCATTACTTTTCAAAACAAATTTAAAATTCCCTTAAAAAAATTGGATCAAGGCCAGGTGCGGTGGCTCACACCTGTAATCCCAGCACTTTGGGAGGCCGAGGTGGGTGGATCACTTGCCATCAGGAGTTCTAGACCAGCCTGAGCAACATAGTGAAACCCTGTCTCTACTAAAAATACAAAACTAGCCAGGCATGGTGGTGTATGCCCGTAATTCCAGCTACTTGGGAGGCCGAGGCAAGAGAATTGCTTGAACCTGGGAGGCGGAGGTTGCAGTGAGCCAAGATTGCACCACTGCACTTGAGCCTGGGTGACAAGAATGAAACTCGGTCTCAAAAAAGAAAAAAGAATAAAATTGGATCAAGCAAGAAATGCTTGCCAATATGCATTCTTGATGTGTAGATAAGCCATAAGAGAGGAAAATCACAGGTAAATTGTTAATACCTTGATGTATTCAATCCACTGCTGCAAAAGAACCTGAACTCCACCTCGAACTCTACTGAAGAGCTGATACAGGAGGGACAAATCTTGAATTCGGTTTTCATCAAGGAGATTATTTAAACCTGCATTTTAAAACATTTTGGCATTAAAATATAGTGAATAAGATTATCAGACATTTTAATAAAATCTGAGTTGTAATCATTGTGATACTGGTTTGAACTACACCTAGTCTGTATGTGAGTTGTAATGTCCTTTGACTTAAACCCAACCATCTCTCTGGATGAAAACAAAATTTAGCAACTTTAGTCATTATAAAAATAAAAATAGGCAGGCACAGTGGCTCACACCTGTAATCCCAGCACTTTGAAAGGCCAAGGCAGGAGGATCAATAGAGCCCAGGAGGTTGAGACCAGCCTGGGCAAAATAGTAAGACCTCACCCCCATTTTAATTTAAAAAGTTAAAAAAAAATTTAAAATAAAAATCATTAACCGCATAAGGGTTTGTACCATTTAGAATGATAGATTAGAGGCATAAACAAGTTTATAAAAACTGGTTCACATAAATATACATTATAAACACCTCATATATATAGTAGCCATATTATGTACATAGCTACATTTCAGAATATTGGAAATGGCCTGTGAGATGTCAAAAGCCATGCATAAATAGGTCAAATTTAAATGAGGCTCTAATAAACATTTGATTTTCAGGATGAAATAACAGTATAACTGTATTAAATGTCTAAATACATAAATTTTTATACAAAAGAAAATATTGTTGGAGAGAAAGGTAAGGCTTTTACCTATCTGTGGCATTCTCAAAGTAAAATGCAGGGTATACTCTCATGATCATTTGGGATTAGAAATGCTTGGTTTTACATGCCATGAACAAGAGAAAACACTCACCACTTTAGTATAAGATGGAATACCTTTCCTTACTGAAAGCTTACAAATTAAGTCAAGAATTTCCCATTTTTTGTCTTTTCTTTTGTTTAAAGAGATGAGAGTCTCACTATGTTGCCCAGGCTGACCTTGAATTCCTGGGCTGAAGCAATCCTCCTGCCTCAGCCATTCAAATAGCTGATACTACAGGCACATATCAACCACTGTTTCTTTATTGGTATTGGTGGATCCCTTTCTTCTTTCTAGTTCCTGTATCTTTCAGATAAGAAAATTGGCACCTCCAGGAAGTTTACTGTGATTAATAAGGATTATGTCCATCCTCAGAAATGCAGCCACATGCTATCAAACTTTTAAAAGAGCAACATCTTTAAAAAATTCCCTACTAGTTTGCCACTACCATTTAAAAAGTAATCTCTTAATTTACAAATTGCCAATTACCTTTCTGAAGAATTGCTGTTAAGTGTTCACCTAAGAGTTGTTTTTCTACAGTAGCAATTAATGACTTCCTGCAAGGAAAAAAAAAAAGTTTAGTATTATTGACGTTTGAATTCCAGAAAATGTAAAGCCTCTCCTGAGGAAAAAAAAAATCAAATAGCTCATTTTGTGTTAATTTCAAGATTCCTATCCTATGTATACATTTATTGGCACTTAGAGTTACTATACTTTATACCTAAAAGAAGAAAACACAAAGGAATTGATGGGAAAAATTCTTTTAAATGCCTCTTTTAGAATTCGATTTACATCATGAAATAAATATCTCCATGATCTTGCTGTAGCTGGCTTTTTCCAAGTTTTGCTACTTTTATCAGGAAGGTAAAGATATACTATTTACAGAAGCCCCTCGATTGACAATACTTAGGAGAGCACAGAAATAGGAGAATCCACTGAATTTTAACTGGCCTGAAGAGTTTAATGTTCATATCAATCTCTAATATTATTTCTAAATTACATTCTAAACACACACACACACACACCCCCCTAATAATTGAATCCTTGATGAAAACTAACTAGGGAAAGAATAACTTGAAGCTTGCATTATGAAAACAACTGTTAACATTTCAAATCACAACTGAAAACAGTTAATTGTTAGGATGCCTAAAGTGCTACAAGTCATTTAACAACAGCTTAAGACAATTACATTAAGCATGTAATACTTACTGGGTGGTCTGATCTAAGTAAGTAATAAGTCTGTCTGCTTCTTCTTCTAGACGTTTGTTAACGTGATGAAGATATTCAGGAACCTACAAAGATAGTTTTTTATATTATTGTTTTCCTCCCCATAAATCACTCAGAAAATGTCAAGTCCAAAAGATCCTGGGAGCAGCCCTGTCAAATGTGACAGGGTAGAATCATATGTAAAATTATAGGTAGAGTTTATGATCCAGAATTCTGGCCTTTAAGAAGAGAGAAAAGAAAGGAGCACCTAAGTGAGAGAAGAGCATCACAATGTTGGGAAGATAAATGCAAAGGGAAGTTTATATTCTACAAAGTAAGGTCTACTGTGAGAGACAGTGAATTTATTAGTCATGATTTTTAAATACCTCTCTTTCTTGCATTAATTTTTGGCCTTCAGCTGCATAGAGCCGGTTAGTTTCTTCCAAAAATCGTTGTTCAAAAGAATCTTGATAAATCTGGGAGGGAGAACAAAATGAAGGATATGATTTACTTAGTAAATATTTACTAAATGTCCTATATGTCTATGTAAACAGCATTATGGATTTGGTTTTTAAACATCAAACTAGGATCCTTTTGTAGTTTAGAAGCATGCTGATTGGGGTTTTATGCTCATGTATGAGATGTGCTTCCTTCAAACCTTGTTATGACATCAGCACATTACCTGTCTTATGTGGGGGGAAAAAAAACTAGGAATAGCAATCAACTCTGTAAAATATGTGTAGTGGTTAACTTACTTGCAAATCAGACAGCATGCTTAAAAGGCTTCGGAGTAAACTTCTATCAATTGCTTCACCATTCCTTTCCCTCTCAATCAAGAGAAGGATGCCATCAATTGTCTTATTCTGGACTTTCTGATCACTTATAATATGAGCCCTAAATAACTCCAGTCCCATGTCCCTAAAATAAAAAACACATATAATCTAAATTACTTGACAATACCACTTCTGAAGAGGTTTGCTTAACTTCTTACCACATGTTGCCATGTTAATTATAGTCCCAGGCTTTGAAGCAGCAATTGTAAAAGAATAAAATCCACATATTTAATTTTGAATAACATTATTAGATTAAAGCATACAGGAAACTCATTTTGTCTTTAATGAGAACTGAAGCTAAATTCCTATTTTCCTCCATAACTAAGTTTTGTTGTATTATTTCTTTTTATGGATTTCTTTCTTGCTCAAATAAAGAGACAAAATTAGTTCAAAGACATAAAACAATTTTCACTGTACTGGCATTGAAAGCTTATTTGGTTATTTATCAATTTGTTTCAATACTCAAGAAGCAGGGAATTCTGTCATTGCTGTAAGCAGATGATAGGTACATGATAGGGGGAAGAGTTCATGATACCATTCTATTTTCATGTATACATGGACTTTTCCATAATGTTAAATGAGTGAACTCTTGATGATCAGCAGCAAACTGAATCACAATCATAGACATTCCAGAGCAAATTTTAGTCCCCTTAACAAAAAAAGTCTTCATAAATTAATATATGCCCAGGGTTATATAGTAATGTTAGCTATCTTCAATATTAGCAAAGACAGATTATTAGGAAGATAAAACTGCTACAAAGGAAAGCCTAGAAGCCAAATGTGAATTTTTAGAATATTCACAGTATTGCTTATACTCTTTCATTAGTGTAATTAAGATCTGAGTATGATTTGGAACAATCTTTTCATGTTTTACCGGCATCCTTACCAAATGGAGGGTAGCATTGAATTCTGAAGAACATAAGTTCTATCCAGAAACAAAAAAATGCTCCTGATCATGATCTGCCAATGGAAAAAAAAAAGAAATCAAACAATTTTTATACGTTGTGAAGTTGAAATATTTGCTTTCAGTAAGAATAAAACTGAAGGGTTCGTCTGTATATATATTAATTACTAGGATCTAATATGCAGATAAACATATCTATCTGAGAATAGGCCCATATCATTTTTATTATTTGACTGTCTTAATCCTTGTTGTGTTTTCTAGAAAGGAAGGCACTTAAAATGACCCTCCCTCTGACTTATTACCTGAGAAGTAATTGAAAAATAACAGGGAATCAAGGGGACACTCATATAATTCTTCCTTAGCCACAGTGCTAGGCAATGAAGTTGCCTTACATTACACATGTGAGGTTTTTAGTTTTCAGTTGGGGGTGGGGGGGATGGATTTTAGGATTTTGATCTGTAGAATATAAGATATAAACTAATACCAGATTAAGGAAAATGGAAAAGGTTGTCATCTGAATAAACTAAAATAAGGACCATCAGGCAACTTAACAGGTAATCAAGTATTGAACAGGAAAACCATCAAGAGAGGAAAAAAAATAAGAGTGACAGACAAAATGTAGCTTTTTAATGAATGAGATAAATACATTTTTGGTGTGACAAAAATAAAAAGGAACCTAAGGTGCGAGTCATTCTGAAATGCAAGTTTACCTGTAACCTGTGGTTTTAAAATAGAAAACTCAACCAAAACTAGTTTCCAATATAAAAACGGAACAGATATTGAAGCAATCTCCCTATTGTCAAGTTTTAAAAATTAACATTCCTGCATTTGAAGAAATGTTTTTAACTATTAATACGGTGTTTAGCTGAAATATAATACCTTTTCCAACCTACCATTTGTCTGCAATGATTTTGCCAACATCTATCAATCTTCTTTAGAAAAAGAACACTATCCAATGAATCCCTGAAACATATGTTAAGGATATTTTAAAGCATTTAATACAAGTAATATGTGCCATGTGACAGACAGCACATTAGTCTTAAATATGAATACCTTGTATACTAAATGAAACCAAATGGCACTTTTTTATGAACCAAAGTGCTATTACTTTATTTGTAAAAGAAAAAAAAAAGTGGATTATACTAAAAAACACCTTTAAAAACAAGTCTTAGACGTAACTGAACCTCGTGTTTTCAGTTTATGATTTCCCTTGGATTATTCCTCAAGTAGAAATCTATTAGGGTAAAAAGGGTAAAGACATAAGGACATCATATTTACATGAATACCACATGTAGTTCTGGATACGAATTAAGGCTGAAAAGTCAAAATGTATTTCTTCTTTCTCAAAAAACACAAGGCACAAAAAATATCAAACCTACAAAACACAGGCATTCTACTTCAACCTGGGTTAAATAGTGAGGGGTAGGGACAGAGAGGAATACAAAGCTACTTAAGATTTTTTTTTAAAAAGGATATTCTCTGAATTGATGAATCTGTGCTTTGATGTGATCTTCACAGATCTGTCTCAGCTGTTTGTACAAGTTTGCAGAAATCTTGTAAGAACAGAGATTTTCTACGGCCTGCAAGTTAAACACATACTTTCTTGAGGAGAGGATGAAGGATTTCTCAACTATTTATATCAGATTCTTATTAATTTGATATTTCTATCACATCAGCTTATTAAAAAGGGTTATTCATCCACTTAAGACACAAGGTAGAACAAAATATATCAATGTGAGTGGCAAACTTTTTCATAACAAATATACTGTATCAAAAAAGAACAAATTACAGGTTGAACATCTCTAATCCAAAAATCTGAAATCCAAAATGCTCAAAAATCTGAAACTTTTTGAATGCCAACATGATTCTCAAAGAAAATGCTACTTGGGCTGTGTGCAGTGGCTCATGCCTGTAATCCTAACACTTTGGGAGGCCAAGGTGAGAGAACTGCTTGGCTAGGAGAACAGCCTAGGCAACTGTGATGGTTAATATTGAAGGATACAAAGTACTGATCCTGGGTGTGTCTGTGTGGGTGCTGCCAAAAGAGATTAACATTTGAGTCAGTGGGATGGGGAAGGCAGATCCACCCTTAACCTGGTGGGTACAATCTAATCAGCTTCCAGTGAATATAAAGCAGGCAGAAAAACGTGAAAAGGAGAGACAGGCGTAAGCTCCCAGCCTACATCTTTCTCCTGTGCTGCATGCTTCCTGCCCTCAAACGTTGGACTGCAAGTTCTTCAGTTTTGGGACTCAGACTGGCTCTCTTCAGCTTGCAGACAGCCTGTTGTTTGACCTTGTGATAGTGTAAGTTAATGCTTAATAAACTCCCCTTTATATATACATCTCCTACTAGTTCTATCCTTCTAAGAGAAGCCTAATATAGCAAGAAAGTACGACCCCATCTCTACAAAAAAATTAAAAATTAGTTGGGCATAGCGGTGTGCACCTGTAGTCCCAGCTATTCAGGAGGCTGAGGCAGGAGGATCACTTGAGCCCAGGAGTTTAAGGTTAGAATGAACTATGATTATGCCACTGCACTCCAGCCTGGGGAAAAAGTGAGACCTTGTCTCAAAAATAAAAAAGCTGTCTTGTTGTTTAAAATGCTAATCATTTTCACAAGCAGAGCTTCATTGTGGGTTTAAAAAAGAATTTCACCAATTGTTTATGTATCAAATGGGTCAGGCAGTCCTACTACAACTGAATTAAGGTTTACTTAAACTTTCTTGGGTTTTCCTGAACAGAACAAAGCAGAAATTACTGCTAACAGTATGATAATGAGTATGATATAATACCAAGAAATTTTTGCCAACATTTCAGTTTAAGAATAGTTAAATATAGATTTTAAAATTTGTGCCCAGGCATGGTGGCTCATGCCTGTAATCCCAGCACTTTGGGAGGCAAAGGTGGGCAGATCACAAGGTCATGAATTCAAGACCAGCTTGACTATGGTGAAACCCCGTCTCTACTAAAAATACAAAAATTAGCCAGGTGTGGTGGTGCGTGCCTGTAATCCCAGCTACTCAGGAGGCTGAGTCAGGAGAATCGCTTGAACCCAGGAGGTGGAGGTTGCAGTGAGCCGAGATCACACCACTGCACTCCAGCCTGGGCGACAGAGTGAGACTCCATCTCAAAAAAATAAATAACATTTGTACAACTGAATTGACACCAAGTACAAAAGAAATGACTGCATTTTTACTTCATTCTAATAACTGAATTGGTCTTCTTTCATACTCAGATTCCAGAAGGATGACCTTCAGATTTCAGTAAGTTTCTTGTTATGTATATATCAAAGACTTTCAAATTTAAAACAACAGGTATGGGAAGAAAATTCTGATATAATCTACAATTCTAAGTGGTAATAACTTAAATATAATACCAGGATTCCTTTCTAACCACAACAGAAGAAAAAAAATTCCACTAAAATGGACTCTGGGGGGGCATCCAAGTTCTGTGGGTTAGAGTGGAATTTTATAAATATGTAGTTAGAAGTCACATTCCCAATATGCAGGTCCAGTAAGTAAATTAGCAAATGAAAAGAACGCTTGGCCTGGCGCGGTGGCTCACACCTGTAATTCCAACACTTTGGGAGGCAGAGGAGGGCAAACACGAGGTCAGGAGTTCGAGACCAGTCTGGCCAACACAGTCAAACCCCATCTCTCCTAAAAATACAAAAATTAGCCAGGTGTGGTGGTGTGCACCTGTAACCCCAGCTACTCGGGAGGCTGAGGCAAGAGAATCATGTGAACCTGGAAGCCAGAGGTTGCAATGAGCCGAGAACACAGCATTACACCCCAGCCCAGCAATAGCGCAAAATGCCATCTCAAAAAACATAAAGAAAAGAAAGCTTAAAGGAAACCTCTTACACAAGAGCGAAGTCACCACACCTCATCAGGAAACAGCAGGCCAATTAGATTGAGCAGCTATGGAGGAATAAGGCCGAGACTCTGCTGGCCTG